CACTGAGAGGAGGCCTGCCCAGGCCTTGTTAGGGCAAAAATTCTAGTGTCTCAGCGGCCTGCTGTCTGAGTCCCCAAGGATCACATTAGAGGGAGGCCCTGGTGTGTTTTGAAACCCACACAGAACGTTATTTTGCACAAACTCCATCCAGCGTGTCGCGCTGCCGTATCGTCAGTGATGGGATTTAGGTCAGTAACTACTTTGGGGGCAAGTCTCTTAACCCTCTGCATCCTGAGGCTTTTTTGCATTTTTATAAAGTTCAGGAATACCAGGAAACATGCCATACATTTCCTGGGAATAGTTAAGAATGAATGCACGTGATCACTGACATTTCCTAAGGAAAACAACTGCTGGGTGTGTGTTAAAGGGTAGAATAATAATACAGGTTTTGAAATAATCTGTGTCTTGGAGGCAAAAAACTCTTCTCATTTGGCAGTGTAAAGATGATGAAATAGAACTTATGCAGAATAGAGATCTTCTTACAAAACTGATAGACAAATACTTGCCAGTCTGTTGTTTTACCCAAAGGAGAAACACACATATTTACCAGCCTTGTGTTTACTCAAAGGAGAAGCATCGATGTTTTGCTTCAGGTAGGGACTCTGAGGGTGGCTCAGAGTCCGCCTTAGGGTAGCTGGAAGGAAAGCAATGTCTACTAACGGATAATAATATCAATAGATGACATTTGCTACCTGCTTATTGTGAGTCCTGACAACCGGCCTGTGAAATAGGAAGGTACAAACCCCATTTTACCATTCAGGCAACTGGGGTTTAAGTGACTTGCCCTATAGCAGAGGCAGGACTGGAATTTGGGTCCCCCACGCACATGCTTGTGCTGGGCACCGCACGCCTCTTTTCACTCGATCACACTCCTTTGCACCTCTGGTAGAGAAAGGAAATGCTGTTCTCGTGTTTAAAAGTGATTGATGGGTTATATGCAAGACTTGAGTCTGACATCAATGCAAATGTATTGTTGGTTTTTAAAATCCTACTTTAAATGGATATTGGAGCATATGGTGAGTTATAGATATAAGAAAAGCATTTTTTCTTCAAGTGAGGCTTATATTTTTCATTTTCTTTAAACAGACCAATAGCATGTGTTTTACAATGAAAACATCCTGTGTACGAAGAAGATACAGGGAATTTGTGTGGCTGAGGCAGAGACTCCAAAGCAATGCTTTGCTGGTGTAAGTGATTTAAAGAGTGTATTGAGGAGACTTTATTATTATATTCAATATTTAAAATTTTGACACACTACTATATATGAAATAGATAAACAAAAAGGATGTACCGTACAGCATGAGAACTATATTCAATATCTTGGAATAACCTATAATGGAAAAGAATCTGGAAAAGAATACACACACACACATATAACTGAGTCACTTTGCAGTACACCTGAAACTAACACAATATTGTAAATCAGCTATATTTCAGTGAAAAAATTGACGTGTGTTAAGATATATAAAATGTGAAGTATTTTGTAGTATCTAGCTTTAGTTAGCTTTTTGGCTACTACATCTGATTTCAAAATTTGTCACTTGAATTGTACATACATTTATGAGCATTGACTATGAAAGACCTCAAAAATGCTTTAAAATGTTTTTCTTTGAGTTAACTGATATCCTCATACCCTTATTATATAACCATATAGTATATATAACTGTATAATAGTTGTGTCATAATTATCATATGTAATTTGCTTTCATTTTGAGGGATTTCTGTAACTAAACCACTTTGATTTGATGACTAATTTTTTTTCTTTCTCCTAAGACAACTGCCAGAACTCCCATCTAAAAACCTGTTTTTCAACATGAACAATCGCCAGCATGTAGATCAGCGCCGTCAGGGTTTGGAAGATTTCCTCAGAAAGTAAGTATGCAGAAACTCTCGTGGGCAGACAGGAGATGTGAGTGAAGCGTTTTGCAAGAGCTGAGTGTCCCATGGATGATGGCTGGGCAAGAATGTTTCTGTTTCTGAAATGCTAATAATCTGCTCTGGAGCGAATCTCAGTGATTCATTTCCTGTATTAGAGCTCCATCTTGTGGCTCCCATCATATAGTGCATATTCAGGACCAAACCTTCCAGAAAGAAAACAATGAACTGAGTCAGATAACAACATATTCTCCCTTAAGCTATAAAGCAGAGCCAGATTACTTGGGAGTTTAGCTGACAAAACTAAAATTTGCCAGGAAATTAATGTGCTTTATTAAAAAGGCACTTCTTAAAAACTGTATTTACAACATTTGGGATTGACAGACCAAAACCAGCTCTACAGTGGGCTGCTCTAAATGAATAGGTGAATGCTGTGCTTTGGAGGGAATGTTTACAAGGGAGTACTTAGTGGTGTTTGAATGGTCTCAGTGGGTTATTGACTCTGGAGTACTTGGTGATGGTTGGTACAGCAGTTAAGGTGATGTGAATTCACACTACCGTAATCCCTCTTTCCCCCCACTCTGGAATGCTGGAATACCCACCCCATGGGATGGCACACTGGTTTGCACACAGACTCTGAGGCCGGACTGCCTGGGTTCAAATCCTGCTTCTGCTACTTATTGTCTGGGGTTTGGGCAAGTCTTTTATCTCCTCTATGCCTGTGTTTGCCCATCTATAAAATGGGTAGCAATAGTATCTACTTCATAAGGTTGCTGAGAGGATTAAATGAGTTAACGAACTGAAAGCACTCACAACAGACTGACGTCTAACGTGTGGTATCCAAGTGTTGGCTATTATTTTAATATACTTAGACATGAAATAGCTTGGAGCTGATTTTTCTGTCTCCCTATTTTATAGATAAGGAAATAGGCTAAGTCTTAGCACTACTAGTTAGTGGCAGGGCCCCATCTCCGGAACTTTCTTTTTCTACTAGCTTTAGGATCTAATGTAATCTCCTTTTGAGTTTACTATGTGGTGCCTTGGAACTCAGCTGAAATAATATGTTGCCCTGTCCCCATATGGCTCAGTCCTAAAGGGTTGGAGTATTAAGTATGCACATGAATATTCATATTTATTCCTATTAGATTGACATCACTTCTTTCCTTTGAAGGGGTCAGGGAGACATACAGAAAAACCCAAGATTATAAAATGTGGGAGGGCGGGAAAAGAAAAAGCAGCCAGAGGAATAAAAATGACAAGACACCAGAAGAACCGATTAACCGAGCCAAGTCATTGGAAAAGATCACAGTGTACTACTCTTTGCGGTATCATAGACACGACGGAACAAAGACCTGGCCAGGTTTTCTCTGCCCTTTCCCTTTGGGGGCAGCTCCAATTTAATTGTCTGCATGAGACCCAGGTGGCTGATGGCCTTTCCCTTAAGATGTGGTCCCGGCAGCCAAGTTGGTGGAGTGGGCTGTCACTGCAGATGCTGCTCGGGGAAGCTGCAGACTGACCATTGCCCGTGAGACCCGGGCAGGGCTAGTGAAATCCCGCAGTCCCCGTAAGCACTGCGGATCTGAGTGTTTTCTCTAGAGAAGCCTCCTGATTTGAGGTCAAAGGACAGCTTGTATCTCTGTGTTTATGTTGTTGGTTAAGCGTAGGGCATATGTTTTTTTGATCAGGAATCACTTCATTGTTTTGAACATGACCTTTCCTTACAGTTGATCAACCAAATTCATGATGGAGTGTCGTTGGGCCGCAGGGGTTGGGGCTTCCTTGAGGTTATTTTTGGATGCTGTGTTGTTTGGCAGTTTGCTGGTTGAAGATGATGCAGAGGTCACAATGGAGGGTGTCCTGGGTCAGGGGCTCGAGGAACTGGGTTCCAGGTCTCCCCTAATCTTGGCTCCTGATGTTTGTCTGGCTCTGTGACCTTGGACAGGCCTCTGAATCCCGTGGGCCTGGGTTTGCTCTAAGGAGTGTGAGAATGTAACACTTGCATTGCCGACCTTGTGGGTCATTGTGTCCCTCAGATGACAGCTCAGAAAGGACTCAGAAAACCTATTTATTAAATGACTTCTTTGGACCAGGCTGGGTCCTGGGGTTATAGGACTGCACAAAATGGACACATATCCTTGTCTTTCTGAAGCTTTCCTTCTAGTGGGGAAGCAACTGTATACATACCAGGGGATGGCTGGATTCAATAAAATTGGATCTGGATTATCATCCAGAAGTCAAATCATGGATCAGACAGACACCAAGTTCTCTTGTGCTGTTTGTTCCACTGGGGTCTGTGAAGATTAGTCCCCAAGCTGATGAGTTTCACAATAAAAATGAAAGCTGGTGCTTCTGTGTGATTTGAACCTGAAGGAAGCGAACAGTCTAATACCACACAGTTGGATTCAGTCCTGACCTAAATGCCCTAAATACTGTGGCCCCTCCAAATCCTTCCCACCCTTTTCTGTGTCCCTCAGATATTTATGCGTCATCCTGCTGTTCTTAGTCTGGTTGGTGTAGAAATAGCATCCTTGCATGTCTCTGCCTGGGGCACCCCGTTTTCCTCCAGCCCAAACCCACTTTGGGAAACTGGATGTGATATGTGACTCGGCCATCTTGACACTGTGTCTTGTGCCCTCTGAGGCCCCACTGGTTATCCGTTAAGTAGGGCCACCATCAGTATCCTGTGTGCCTTGTTTGTAGAGCCCTTGGGGAACTTGAGAGGGAAACACCATAGCATTAAAATGTGAAACATGCCTGTGTTGTAGATATTCAGCATGTACTTTTAAAACCTGGGTTTTAGGTAAGTTTTGAAGTTATGAACCAAGAGTACTATATATGTTCAAACCCTTTGAAACCAAAATGCTGCTGTCTCTGTGCATATGTGTGTGTATATAATATGTATTTTTTCATTTTAAGATCATTTGTGAAATAATACATATTCAGTAGCAAAGTGCATATCCAGGCCAGTTTTCATAGAGGAATTAGAAACTTGATTTTTTTTGGCAGGGCACCAAATAAGAATAATTTATATACCATTTTATTGAATACTGGCTATATGTTTAGCTTTTTATGTTTTAACTCCATACTTAACAACAACATTAGGAGTCAAGTTTCATCTCAGTTTTTATTGACAAGGAAATTATAAGAAAGGTGGGGGCACTGTATTAATCCCAGGAACTGGAAGGTTTATAATTAGAAGAACTCTGAAATGCTAGCTACATTTGGTCAGTATGATTGTGAGATTTTCCAAACATACTCATTTTTCTTCCATCTTGGCCAGAAACTTTTAGATTCCACCCCCCCCAGGCTAATTATAAATTGTAAGTCACTTTTATTAATAGTTGTGAAAAAAATTGTAGACCAAATTGTAAACTCTGGCATCCTACTAATTTTTTTACATTTGACTGCTGTCACAAAAGGGAGCTGGGCTTTCCTTCTTGACTGAATTCATCCCATTCATGTAACTACATGTACTTCTATATTACTGTTTTGTATTCCTTAAAAATTTAAGGAATTTAAATTAAAAATTTTTTTTGCAAAAGGGTACCTTGGAAACACCACAGCTAGTTTTACACACACACACACACACACACACTTTTTGTTAAGTCTGTGTTCAGTAGAGGGCACCACAGCACAGATCATGAATGCCTTCAATGAAGATTTGTATGTTTTATTTTTTTTTCTCATGGTAACAGGTAAACAGGCTGAATTAAATTTTTTTCCTACATAAAACCACTAACCTTCCACATGCTAAACAGATGTGTATGTATATCATTACATTGGGTTTAGCAGACTCAGGGCATCCTTAGTTAGGATTACGTGGTTTTGCACAGCGATATATGTTCTCAGCTGAACCAATATATAATACACCTAATAAAATCATCTTGAGGAAAACCAGATTTTCAACTGTGTTTAATTCAAGGAAAAACAGGTTTTGCTTTGTTTAGTTTAAAGTTGTTATGGAGAAAGGAATAACTTTTGACTTATGTTGTAAATATCTCTTCAGAAATTCCCTTAAAATTCTAGAGGCAATTTTTGTTCCTTGTATAAAGGCTTGAAAGTTGTATACATTCATTTTTTATGGAGGCTTATAAAGATGATGTTTTATTGACTGTTTTACAAAGTACTCTTTATATTAAGTTTGAAGTTGATTTTCTGCTGTTAGATTTGTGGAAAAAGTGGCACAAACATGACTAAAGTAAAAAAATGATTTAATATTATGGTGGCGCTCATAACTCTCTGTGATATACAGTAAACCAGATATTACTTAAAATGAACTAATTATGCTCACTGAACTGGATGGGAAAACACTCCCCAAATTTTGTATTTTGTATTTTTAATTTTGGAATGAAACACTTGACTGAAAATAAAAATCATAAATACGATAAATTATTTCTGTTTATTTAAAACTCATATCCGTGGAGTCTGGTGACGTAAATTTTGCCAGCCAGAGAGAGGGAATTTAGAAAACCTAAACTGTGCCCTGCAGATGTACCGTCTTTGAACTCTGGGCCCGCATGGGTGTTCAGATGTCCCCTCCCCAGCCACATCTTTCTCCGGGTTCATAACTGTGAGCTGGGTGATGTGCCGGCTCCCTCTGGCTGTTCACCTGTGTGTCCTCCAGGTGGCAGTATTCAGCAGAAAACACTGGGAAATAATGAGTCTAATGTACGGTAAAATTGGAAATTGAATTATAGCTCAAGAAAAAGGACGGTAGCCTTGAGGTCCCGATCAGCCTGGACTCTGATCACTTTTGTTTGCTGTACCCATGTGTTAGGTTACTAGCAAGTCAGTAACAGCGCGTGAGCAGTTCAAGGCTCGGTAGAATTGCTTTGGACATGAAATAAAGCTAAAATGAATTTGTGTCCAATATCATTGGCATTAGTGCTCATTACTTTTGTGGTGTAATGCCTCAAACCATCTAAAATCAATTTTAAAGATTACCCATTATTTTATAAGGAAAATAAAACACATTTCCAACAGAAACAAAGCAGTAAGTATAATTCTATGAACAGTTACTTGTACCATTGCTGGCAGGAAACCACTAACAAAAGGACACAGAAAACACTCCGTTCAAACTTCACAGCGAATGCAAGTTAATATTAATGGCTTGTTGCTATATAAATCTTCTCTTGATTTGAAGCATTTAAAACAAGAGCGGTAAACATCTGTAAATGCAGAAAATAAATCTGAGAGTGCAGTGAAAGGGACTTACTGCTTCACTACTTGTACTTGGCAGATTAATCTTTATCATGTGATACGGTCATCTTCTGGGAGAACCCAGGGCGGAGGACATGGAGGGAGTGGAAGTGTTTAGCTGCTTTGCTTGAGATTCTGCCTTTTAAAAAAGCACAAAGGTTTTACTTTTCCTTTCAGTAGGTCAGTAAAGAGTATTTTCTCATACTACATTTGTAAGCCTATTTGAAGCAAAGGCGACAGCTAGATTTTGGTTTCGATACTGTGCATTTTTAGACATTTGCCTTCTTGAAGAAATAATTCTATTTTGTTTGGAAGAGAAGGAAATAGGATTTTAAGTAAATTGGTATTAATGGCCAAAAGAGATTTACATTTCTCATTACTTATTTTAAAATGCAGAATATAAGGTAAGTTTCGTTTGGTCTGGAATACATAATCTATTTTTCATAGCTCTCTGTATGAAAAATCCCATGTTGGGCAGAAATATACTTGAATTTCAGTGTTTCAGTTCTGTCCCCTACATCTATCTGGTCTTAGTGTCTCATGTTATATCATTATTGAACTATTAATAAGAGACTAAATGATCATACATCAAAATCTTGGCTAAAAAGCTGAAACCAGTTTTTATTTAAATACAGAATGTTCTTTGACTTATTTTCCTGTTCCAAGACATGCATTTTGGAAAAAGGCACATTCACGGATAATATGAATTTGAGCCTACGTAGATTTTGCTCCATGATGGTTTTTAAATTCTCCATGTAGTTCTGATGCCCTAGCTGAAATCTGTACTCTCTTTGTAAACTTTGATCTTGAATGTCGGAAAGCTAGTAGGTACTGATTACAAAATTACCATATTTGAAAGATATGTATGGTAAAACTAGCTGAGAGCAATTTTATTTAGTGACTCATTTTAACAACATGGATATGCAATACTGCTGAAGCTTTTGGAGAAATGTCTAGTCAATCTTAAGTATTCAAAAAAAAGCCACCTCTCAACTGAGCCCTTGTAAAGATGTATATAAGCATACTTGTAAAATTTTAAAGTGTAAAACATGCTGAGAAATGTATTGATTTTTTAATAGTAGTTGAAAGTTTTGATGTTTCATGACAGCCTAGCCAATAAAGATCACAGAATTGACATGCTGCTTGGCAGTAAATTTTTTTTAAGTAGAATAAATTTCTATGACTATATAAGTAAAATATTTCCATAATTAATCCACATGGTCATAACAGATGGTTAAATTGAAGAAATGCCCTTGAAGTTATTCTTTTAACAGATGTTCTTAACTATTAGTTTCATGTTTTTACTCACTTAAATTTCCAAATAATTGAATAAAAGTTAACATATGCTTTCATCCCTTTACTAGGCAGAGTCTATAACTGATGCAAAGTTTGCCATACTAGAGAAATGACTTCGTTGCCACATTTTAATGTTTTTCTCTCTGCCACCCTCTAGCTGTCCATCCCTGTCCACTGATTATTTCTCCTTTCGTCTTTTACGTAGGGTCCTGCAGAATGCACTCTTGCTTTCAGATAGCAGCCTTCACCTCTTCTTGCAGAGCCATTTGAATTCAGAAGACATCGAGGCGTGTGTTTCTGGGCAGACTAAGTACTCTGTAGAAGAAGCAATTCACAAGTTTGCCTTGATGAACAGACGTTTCCCTGCAGAAGAAGAAGAAGGAAAAAAAGAAAACGATATAGATTATGATTCAGAAAGGTATTTCCTGGCATTTTGATTTACTGTACACGTATTTATATAACACATCGTGCACATATGCATGTGTATAGATATATACACACACTTCACTCTTTTGTTGATGTAATACTAAGATAATGAAAAAATTAATTGACTGAGATTTTATTGAGCTGTGACAGCTCATCATAGTAGTCTTCACACACACCTCCACACTGAATTAATGAATGCAGTAGAAATTCAATTATCTGCATTCTGATTATGTGACTTTCATTTAGTCAGACTTGAATTATTCGCGTTTAAATTATCTAGCTAAAAAAATATCCAACTGCACTCCAAATGGCTAATTAAAAGTCCAAATTTCCTGTCTCTCTTTGTGACTGGAGATAATTAAAGTTCTCCTCTGCTACTCAGGCTTTGAGTGTGTTGTGAAAACCAATTTCCTCTTTTTATTATTTTCCCCTCTCTTCTTTTCCAGTTCATCCTCTGGGTTCGGACATAGTAGTGATGACAGCAGTTCACATGGATGTAAAATGAGCCCAGCTCTGCAGGAATCCTGAAAAATAATTCTAATGTTACCATTTTAGGAATAGCCAACGATGTCCAGTCATAGAGAAAAAAGCCTGCAAACAACATATGCTTACCTAAAGCTTACCGTCATATTAAGTATTTAAATTTGTAAAGATGTGTTGTTTATCAGTGGTATTTTTATGTTGTCTTCTTGTGCCTAAGCTTCTGTAAACAGCTAAAAGCCTGTGGGTGCAGTATCTTCCTCGACAGGCATACATTGTTGGTAAATCAAGATCCTGCCCTCAAATGACATGATTTATATGTTTTAAAAAGCCTCGTTGGTTTTATCGAATTTTAAAAGATAGGTAAGTAGATAGCATTTAAAATCCAGATAGAGCATTCCTTCTTGTGTCACTGGGGCAGAGTCAGTGCAAACCCAGCAGGTATGATCCTAACCACTAGGAAGACTTATGGCCCAGGACAGGCGGCTGATATTTTGTGGGTGCCTCCCCTGCACTGGGAAAACATTTTGCTTTGGGGTGTTGGCTTGAAATATTTTAGGCGTTTACCATTTCCAGTATTCTCTCTCATACTTAGACAGAAAATGTATCTTATGAATAGAGACATGTTAAAATAATGTTGACATCTTAGGAAAAAAACCCAGAATTAGTGCTAGTCATTTTGCTTCTATTTGCAACACATCGATTCAGAAATACATTTTCATTGTCCAAAATCAGCTTTAACACATGGTTTCTGGAAGCAAATCATTTGTTTTCATTATCTGTGTGTAATTAGAATTATAGGTTAATGATTTATTTTCTCACTTAATGTGCAGTTTCTTATCACTAGATAACTTTCAGTGTCAGTGGTGGTTGCTTGTTACTTATCTTTAAGTTAAAGTAGGAACTTATAACAGTAAATTTTGCCAATAAATATTCCCATAATTTAGAAAAGGATATGAACTTGCTAATTTCAGAATTAATTACTCATTTTTAAAAAGAACTTTCTTTTAAGGCATCTGCTTGAGGATTGGTATAATTTAATAAAATGTCTTTTTTTTTTAGTGGTCCAAAGATAAAATGTCTTAAACTACATTGAACTTCAAATTTCACATGAGGCAGCATTTTTTTTGAGATAATTGTCCAAGTTTCTTCCTTGTTGAATGGTACAGAATAGCTCTGAAATTAAAAGGAAGATATTGTTACATAACTGCGATAACTTGTTGCTTTAACTAAATGTTTCCTTGCCTCATTTTATTTTAATGAGGAGTTTAAAATTATTATATTATTTAAAAAGTTCTTGAAATGCTTGTAACTAAGAACCTACAGGAGAAAAATTAAATTTAGAATACAAATGATTTCCTTAATTTCGCCTTTTTGTTTTTTGTTTGGTCTAAAACATTATTGAACTTTTTGTAAATATTTTGATTTAATGTATCTTGGATCTTGTTACTTTGTCATCTAAGATTAATCATTTAATACAGGGGGAAAAAGACTTAGCCATTTCTTTTTATCCTGCTAGCATGTAAAGTTTGCCATCTAGTTGTTTAAGCGCGATCTCCAGCTCCTTGGTCATATGCCCGTGCATTCACATTATTTCTGTTTTACAGCAGTTTTGAAAAGCATATAATGTGCCACCAATTGTCATGTAATTTTAGATGATGTAACTATAGCCATCAAATTGATATTAAGTAATGCCTAATACTACACGTTGTAAACTTCATGCGATCATCATTTTCACATTAAACATAAAAAAAAACTTTAATTTGTTGAACTGCTTATTTTATACAAGAGAGTATATGTCTTCTCAGATCTACATTCAGTGTGTTTCTGAATGATAAGTAATTTTTAATGAATAACTGCTAAAATTTGTTTTAATATTCACTATAGTTGTATATATTTGAGGCTTTTAGCCTTGGTTTGGTTTTGATATCTAAGCACTTGCATCTTAAAACTGATTTCCTGCAGCTGAGATATTTAAATGGGCTTCAGCCCCCAATGGCTTTCTTGCTTTGTTCAAGTCTCTTAATTTTCTCTGGCAAATTTTTTTTTAAATAAAGCTTTCTTTAGAAAAATGAAACAATTACTTAAATAACTAAATAGAATAGATATTTATTCAAAACTATTTTAAATGTAACAAGTTTAAAGAATTCTAAATTCTGGATGCTTTTTCATTTATATATAGCAAAACTACTTCCCTGGCCAATTCTGAAAGGGCAAACTATTCACCTATAAAGCTCATTTATGTGTTTTGTTTGAGAACTGGTTTTATATGTAACCCAAAGATGTAAACAATGAAAGTCAACAACCTGTTACGTAAGGCTTTTAAAAAGTCTCCCCTGGAAGAAAGTGATTTAAATTGTAGTTAAAATTTCAAGTTTTAAAAATTACTAAGGAAAAACAAAAATTTTAATCTTCCAGTAGTTATGTTGCTGAAGATATCAAATATCTTGCAGCTTTTCGAGCCTAATTCACATTTTACTTAGTAATTAAAAACAAACAAGTGATATGCAATAACCTTACTATAGTAAGGTAAAAGAATAAAATTTCTCTTATGGCTATTAAGAATTTAAATAAATTCATTTAGCCTAGCCACAATTACCATTATATTCAACAGTAAATTGAATATAGTCTGGAACTCAGTTTGCTTTTTAGTGCCTTAAGGATTCTTCATTATTGAGCTACTGTGGTACAAATAAGGTTTTCAGTATTTCAGCTGTAAAGTAAGACCCTATTTCACAAAAGGCCTCTAAAATTTTAAGACAAAAATAACGAAAGCTTATTCTGTTTCTAAATAATTTTCCTTTTAATATTTAAAGCACTTAGTTGGTATCCTACGAATACAATGCAGCAATCTTTTAAATGGAAGAAACAATTTATATCAATATAATTTCCTGCTTTTGTTTGGAATATAGACCTTTATATCTACGTATATAGATATACATATTTTCAAATACAATATTTCAAATACAAAAAGCTATCTGAAATTAGTTATTGCGATTTAACATTCAAAGCATAGTTAACAATTTTCTTTGTACATGAAGGTCATAAAAAATTAATACGTTTTAGTAGAATGGAGTTCAGAAATTTCAGGATATAAATAAGCAACAATTTCTTTAAATTTGAAACATTTACAAAGGATTTTGGCACTATTCTTTGCCATATGCATCTCACAAACGAGTCACCATTATCCCTTTAAGTCAGACACAATTGCTCTTCACTCTTGCTGGAAACTTTTCTAGATCATTGTTATGAACAGTGCATTGGACACTAATTTATTTTAGCTGCGCAAACTCTGGTAGTTAATGTCCCTTCTCTCTTTCTTCGAAATTCCAAAGACTTCTTTCAAAAGATAGAGAGGAAACGAGAAAAAAAAATTAAGCTACAGTTTTCTGCTGAATTTAAACTCCAGTCTAAAGACACTATGCAAATGGCTTATGCTAAGAGGAAAATACCCTTCTCCCCCGACGAGAAGTGTAGATGCATCCAAAACCCACACCGCTTGTCTTTGCTGCCAGAGGCACAGTACGGGCATAACTTGTGGTTGTGTTTTGGCTTGTTTCTTACCTCCGGGCCTTCTTTATAGACTCTGCCCCCCACCC